TGAAGTTCTAACTTGAAAACTAATAATGAGAGCTACCCTGGTCAAAATAGTAAGTCCTGTGTACAGTATTTCGCATTCGACTTGTAATATTCAACTACTAACTAACCTTTCAACCTTCTAGTCCTTATTTCTTATATAAAAGAGCGAAAAGGCAAATCGTCGTATCGTGGGTTCTTGAACTTACATCGCGATGTCATTGTTTTCATTATTTCTTCATCCCTTTCAAAGGACTGGCGTGATCTTGATACTTCTTGGGCGCGTCGGTTTTTGGAAGAAGCAAAGGAGCTATTAAATCAAACAATTTTTTTGGCTTTAAAGGAAAAAGTGTGTTTTTTTTATTTTGCAAAGGAAGGGCAACTCCTAGTTGGCTCTCATCCTGAATCTGGAGAATTACTGGGCTTGTTCGCTTTGGTACCCAATCCAATCTTTCAGTTCAGGTATCCTAACTTTGTCGTTGGTAAAGGTCTGCTGGTTTCGGAGGAACCTGCTATATACCTTCCTTTATCACTAAATAAAAAGGTTGGCGCACTAGCACACTGCTAACAAGCTTTTTTCTCACAACAGGTAAAGACAGAGCGTTCACAACATGCAGAAGTTTTGCAAACATACTGGCAGGGGGTGATTGAAGAACGAAAAAAGGTTAGTGATAATTATAAAAATCTTGCATTATGATTGTATGTATAATTTGATAAGAGCTAAACATATTATATAGGATCCCATAAAACGAAAACGAACTATAACCGAGAATGACGAGAAAGAAAATCTCGAACCACCACCAAGAAAACGCCCCAAATCTATCATTACCCTCATATGTCTCGTCAAAGGTAATACAACCGCGAACGCCTTTCCTGTCGATATTGATAAGGACCAGCTTGTTGGACACCTCAAAAAAGTTATCAAGGTGGAGCAACCGCAAACTTTCGCTAAAGTTGACGCCAAAGACATTAAGTTATGGAAAGTGGAAATTCCCGACGATCACAATGATCAGTTGAGAAACCTTTCACTACCAGACCAAAACGCGCTCCTCCCAACAAGAAAGATTTCGAAATATTTTTCTGCCACACCAGCAGAACAACACGTTCATATCATTGTTTCGCCACCAGAATCCACCCTGAGAAACTGTATCAACGGTCTCCTTCATGGCCATAATATTGATAAATTATGTCTTTACATCGAGCCAAAGCTTAAAGAACTTAC